ACACTCGCTTCCACCCATAACTGTAAAATGGCCTATTGGCAAACGGTAGCTGGGAGCTATTAACAAACAAAATCCAGCTGGGTCTTGAGCCCTTGACGAAAGACTCCTCTCCATTGACTTTGTTTACATAAAAGTGTTTACACAGCGACTCTCTTGATTATTACCGAATATCTCTTGCAAATATCCAGCTGCAATCTGTGAGACAATTTGTCCTCAACGACATCACTAACGTTTTCCCGACACTTTCATTACTTCAAAAAGTAAAAACTAGCCTTATTTCCTAACCTCTTGGCCGCTGTCCAAACTACCCATTAAGAACAACAAACAATCCAACTTTTTTGCTCGAAAGTGCCCCATTTGAAAAAAGTGCCTCCACAATTTTGTCGCCGATTGTTGCTTCAGTGGACATGTGTAAATTATGTTTTTCTTATAATAATACTAACTTGTACTTTTTAAGCAAAATTTAAATTAAAGGAAAGGAGGCTTGTTTGTATCAAAAACAAGGTTAACCTCAGTCTCACATTCACTCAAAGACTAGGACACTCAGCCCACAACTGTAAAATGGGCTATTTATCACTGACAGGTGCAATGACGTAACACAAGTGATTTGATCTTGGCCTGAGCAGATTTGTAAGTGAATAAGGCTGGACTTCAAATTACTAACGCAATACAATATCTTAATAATAATGATGGAGATTTAAACAACAACAACAACAGCTACAACATTTGCAATAATGATGATGATGCCAAATAAAGAAATACAATCGTCGCATCCTTTTATATTAGTGGTTCTGCATCTCCCTGATTCCTGGTCGAAATGCTATTTGGAAATGTTGTTTTTTGAGGAGAGGGGAAAATCGAAGTACCCGGAGAAAAATCTCTTGGAGCAAGGGAGAGAACCAACAACAATTCCAACCCAGATATGGCTTTGAGGACGCAAGGATTTAAACCTGAGCCACACTGGTGCGAGGCGATTGCTCTCAGCACTGCGCCACCTTGATACCCTGATGGTGAAGCAGTACCTAGTTTATTATATTAGTTGGCTTAGCTCCATCCTAATTTTTTCGACATTCAATTGATCATATCTTCAGGTTAAGGCCATGGTCTGGGTGGCAAAGATTAAAAACTTTTGCAGTATTTTATTATTGCAAGAAAGCTTGTTAGAAGGCTAATATTTGCAGCTACGGCTGTCAATCTGACTTATCTGATTATTGTTATCGCTGTATAAGAGTTTCAGAATGTCTATTTCTGGCTCACGTCAGTAGACTATTCATAGGTTTCTCTGAGTCCAAATGAGTCCAATACGTCTGACTGGGCGAGATAAACATACTTTTCGATATCTTAGTTGCGAGTTTTTCCCATTCACCCGAGCTTAGACAAAGTTATCCTGATTTTACACCGTATAGTACACCAGGCCATAAGAGAACATGAACAAATCATCGGAGAACGCCAAGAGTTGTTCTCTTCGCATGGCCCATGGTATTGCACTGATCACAGTCTACGCTATGGTGTGCATATTGGGATCGTTTGGGAAATTACTCCTTTGTTTTGCCATTGCCAATCACCCTCTCCTACGCCGAACTTCAAACTACCTTATGTTCAGCCTAGCGATCGCTGATTTATTCGTCACCTTGGTATGCGAGCCCGTCCTTTTGGAAATCTTCTACAATCGAACATTTTTTTCACGAATGCAAAGCAAGCCTGGAAAGGCCGTATCGTCTCAAAGTCAATCTTTCTTGTTCCGCTTCAGTGAT